TTTATTCCATATTCTTTTAGTTGCAATCAAATCAGTCATATGCCACATCATCTAAATTAACGAACAGTAACGGATGCTGTTAATACGAGTTATAATTCATGATTGTTAAAATCGTGATTTTAATCGTGAGATTGCACGATTTTACGATATTAAGTAGTTTCAATTATTGAAATCGGACAAAAATTGTGGGTCTTGAAAAATCAATCTAAGATTGTGTATAAAATCGTGAGATTGTGAAATCGTATGATCTTAAACGATTTTGGAAACTAAATTCTTCTGAAATTATGGATGATAATTAGGAATTTTAAAATTAATTGTTCTTCTTCACTGGTGATGGCAGAATCTCCATCTCTAGAACTTCATCGTTGCCACTGATTTTGCCTTGCTGTCGATGTTGCGTTGTCGCTGGTGCTGCCTGCGTTGCTGCCAATGCTGCCACTTGCCGCTGCTGCTTGCCTGATTCAACCTGCCGAGTTGTCCCCAACATTGAAACCCAAACTCCATTTGTATTTCCGTTTGTCTTTTGGCTTTGATTTATTTAATTTTAATTGTAAATTAATCTTTTTAATTCTTTTATTGTGTTGTGTTTATTTATATACGTTAGAAATATTTTATTATTTATATACAATAAAGAGGATTTACATTCTATTTACATGATATAATTATTGTTTTTTTATTTAAAATACTATAGATTTATATAATTGTAAGTGAGTACTGTTGAAACTATTTAATATAAAATTATAAAATTACTATTTATATGATAATTATGAATTATTAAATATTTTATATTTGAACTTTTAAATATTTTATTTTAGACTTATTTCATTATTAAACAACCTTAACAATTTATTTTAAAATATTTACATGGTTTATATTTGGTTTTATTAATTATATAAATACATGAAAATTTGTTAGGATCTTACAGTCCTCTTTTTCAATCTTAAGTAAAATCTTGATTTTAACAACTTTGGGATAATTTGTTGTTATTGGATAATTTAAGGGCTTATATGCTTGTTTTTTGTTTGATGGTTCAGAAGCTAAAATGGGAAATTCTTAGGGGCATAACATTGGGTTTTGCCTTAAAGAAACAATAAACAAACGCCCAATGCCTTTTGGACGTAATATCCTCTAAAAAATATGACAGAACAAGAAGAATAGGAATTGAAGAAGACGCTTAACTGTTAAAAGGAATACTAACTGAAAAATGCCATTCAAAATGGGCTGAAATGATGCTTAAGCTCTCAAACTTAAGAGTTTGTTAATTTTAAGCTCTCCAACTGAAAAAAGCATCATTGAAGCCCTCCAACTACACCAATGCATCAAATTAGCCCCTCCTCCTTTGATTTCTTTAAAGGTTCTATCATGGTCCCGTTGTTGTCATAGAGAGATGGAAAGATGGAAGCTTGATGGGAATCCAATGGGGTCAATATTTTTGTCTTTTTGGACTTTGATTTTCATTCTCCCTCAGCCTTTTATCTACACTTTTTTATTATTATTATTTTTAGATAAATCATTTTTGATGGGATAAATCTTTCACTTTCTTGCTTAAGTGCCAACTTAGCCTCAATGGCACATGTGTGGCCTAGTCAAATTAATGAAATGGCGCGTTATGACTTTTATTGTTACTTCCTTAATGTGGGTATAATTTGATGCGTAGGTGTAGTTAAAGGGCTGAAATGATGCCTTTTTTAGTTTGAGGGCTAAAGCTTCATTTTAGCCTACAAACTATAATGGACTGATATGGATGAAGGAGAAAGGTTGGTTTGAAAAGTGTGTTTCAGCATCAGAATAGAGCTAACAAGAGAAGAACTTAAAGAGAGAGAAAATAGAAAGAAAGCAAAGAAAAGAGCAAGAAGATAGAGAGGTTAAAGAGAAGGAGAAAAAGAAACAAGTGCAAGACAAGAAGAGGAAGAAAGAAGGGAAAGGGAAAAAGAAACATGAAGAATTCAAGAGGAAGGAAAGAAAGAAGAAGCATGGAGAAATCAAGAGGAAGAAAAGAGAGATGAAAGAAAAAACGAACCACAAGATGATGAAACAAGTGCAAGAGGAGGAGAAGAAGAAAGAAGAGAAAGAGAAGAAGCATGAAGAATTCAAGATAAAGGAAAGAGAGAAGAAATAAAAAATTAGCCACAAGATGAAGAAGAAGAAAATATGATCACAA